TTGGTCCCCATTATGAATATCGATCCACGTTTAGGTATATTTCTCCATATAACGGTATTTTGAGGATTTTAGACACATTTTCCAATTGAGTGAGCAGCAGTAAATTTTCCTTGCCAGATTGGGCACATAAAATTTATCACAATTTCCGGATCTTAGGTAAATGTAGTAACGATGATTATTTAGTATTATTGATGGTTATAAAATTATCATTAATTCATTTGTCGTATAGGTCCACATTTATGGTATATATGAAACATCAATGCAAATAAATTTCAGTGTTCCTATAGTTAGTTTTGGATTATCAAGTTCACGTAGAGGTTCGATCTTTCTCGTTCCTTTTTTAAAACGGAACTAGTCGTTAAAATAGTTCATTTCATCCATATAGTTCCGACTCCTAGATAGTTCATTTGATGTTAAAATTCAGAAGCTACCGCATTCAACAACAGTTGATCTCCTTCAATTAATCAGTAAAAGGAACTATAGGAACTAAAGAATTGGACCTAGTTCATATCGTTCCTTTATGGGAATATGTCCAATGAATTAGTTCGTTTCGGAAACCAACTCTAGTGGAGCTGTATACACCTATAGTTTTTTGTAAGAATCTATTGTTATTAAGCAGATGAACTGGACCAAAAGCAAGATTGAAAAAGTTGACAGTACATGCAATGTGGATGGTTGATCATGACTGATACATCAATACAATATGTAAATGGGTCTCATACACGAATATGAATTCGTATTGCCATCACCACACTAAAGGTTAGAAATGTCGCGAAATGTAATCCAGAATCGGGTTTTAGTTCCACAGCAAGATAAAATTCTGTGATAGTTTTGTAGGGTGAGTCCAGTCCAAAACTGTATTACGAGGGAACTGTTAGAAGTAGAACTCTGAAATTTGGTATGCAGCTTTGTCTATGATAAACGAAGTGCTAATAGGTACTAGTACTAATAGGTACTAAAAAGTATTAAATATTATATTTGAATGGAATCGGTAGTCATAAATATCTGAAACTTGGTATGTAGCTTAAGCTATTACAAATAGAATGATGTGCAAAAATACGTTTTGAAAATTAGTACTAAAAAGGTATTACGCGGGAACGGTTGGAAGTAGAACTCTGAAAATTAGTAGGTAGCTTTGTCAATGATAAGATGATGGGAGAAAAACATATTGGAATTTAATACTAAGAGGTACTAAATATTATATTTGAATGAAATCCGCAGTGAATTTACATATGACATACTTTAAGTTTGATTTAAATATTTTATTGCTGTTTTGCTGTACCAAGTCATTATGTTGAAACCCGCATACCCCGCCCCCAGCTTTGAATAAGGCTTGGCATTTTTAAACACTTTTTTACAGTGATTATGTTCAAATATTTATATATTTTATTCATACATATCAGAAATGTACTTATTTATTAAAAAAAAATATCAAAAATGTTCGAAATTTACAAAATTCATTATAGTCCAAAAAGGCATAAAATCAAAAATTAATATAGTGAAAATTACAGTTAATTCCGTAGTCTTATTAATCCATTTCAAATGTAGAGATATCGAAGCCAAAAGTTAACAAATCCGTTTTTACTGGAGTTTACTGGGCATGTTGAAAGGTGCACCATCTGTGGCACTTTACGGAAATTTATGATCATTTTTAAATAGGTAATATATATATGAAAGAAAATACATTAATGTTTGAAATGATTGTCGGAATGCAAAAAAATGTTTAATGAAAGAAAACGATCACTGAATTCTTCCTGCGCCCTTAAAAAATTAAAAACTTACAAAGGCACTGCGAAAACAGCTAAACAAATTTTCACTCATCAACATTTTGTCGACAACTAAAAAGTTAAGTTGCTAGAGAACAAGATTACCATAAAAAATGTTGCAGGTTGGAAAAGTTTTAAACCTAGATTTTATGAGCGGTGTTCAAGGATGTACCACGTTCAAAGGTGCACCACGGGGGAGGGGTGCCCCCTCTCCCCTACTAAATAGTACTAAACCTGCAAGGGGCATGTATAAACAAATTTTGGAAATTAGTACTAAATGTACTAAAAAGTACTTAATATTATATAGCAATGGAAGATGTAGGGCTAGATATCTGCAACTTGGTAAAAAAGAATAATGGGAAAAAAAATTTTTTTGGAAATTGTACTAAAATGTTATAAATAATAAAACAATAATACAATAGTTTTAAATATTAGATTTTAATGGAAACGGTAGCGATTGAAATCTAAAGCGTAATATGTAGATTAACTATTATAAATAGATTAACTATATACTAAATATTGTACCACATTGAAAGGTAAGATAAATAAATGTAAATGTTGGTATATTAGTACTAAGGGTAGGACACTTTTTTACTCAATTAACAGGTGAATGATAACTTATGATTAAAATTACAAACATTAATTAAGTTAATGAGTTCCATTTTTTAAATGGTATCTTACAATCATACTCAATTTGGCATACTCTGTTCTAAATAGTGTACTGATTTTTTAATTGGTTATAAAAGACACAGAAGCTACTAAATATTATACATGGTTATTGAGTGATTAGAAGTAGTAAAGTTATGAATTTCTGTATGTGGTTTCTAAAAAGAAGTATTTAGAGTTGGGTAGTTCCGGAACGAACTAGTTCATTGGAACTATTCCGAGAGAGGAACGATCAGAACTAGTTCCTGCTCTGTAATTAATATAGTTCATTTTTCTTTATTTCGTTCCTTTATTCCCATATTCTTCATTCGTTCGTATTTCAAATTTTGTGTAAATAGTTAAATTGTATTTTTATTTTGTTTTAAATATTTTTATTTATTTATAAAAAAAGTATTTTGTGCTTATCGTCCTGCAGTTGAACTCTTTACCTTCATTTTTGCACAATTTTCAATTTTTGTATTTATTAACAAGTCAACACGGAACTATGTGAGCGAAAAAAAAACAAAAAGAACGGTGAAAGAGAGCGATTCAAAGGAACTATGTAGGTGTCGGAACTATATGGAGCAAAGGAACTATATTGAGTAAAGGAACTTTATGGAGCAAAGGAACTACATATGGAAAAAACGAAAAAAGAACGATGAAAGAGAGAGATTCAAAAGAACTATGTAGGAGTCGGAACTATATGGAGCAAAGGAACTGTATAGAGTAGAGGAACTATATGGAACAAAGGAACTACATTAAGGAACTAGTTCCTTTTTAAAAAAGGAACTCTAGAAGTATAATTACTCCCAGCGCCATCTACAAGTAAATAGTCTGAACAATATACCAATTGTACACCTAAGTCTGTTTTTACACGGTAGATTGGTTCCAGAAGAAGCCGTGTAAAAAAAGACATTGATCTTATACATAAAGGGAATTCCCCTAAATTAGTGCTAGTCACATTTGATTTGACCAGTAAAAATTGTTTGTACGCGCTAAAGGGGAATTCACTTAAATCTTTAAGCTAGTGTTCGCAAACTATCGATACTATCGATGGTATCAGACTTTTTTCTTTCATAAATACTTTTTTGTGATATGAACATACTTCGCAAAAATTAAATTTGACAAAAAAATTTAAGTACATAAAATTTCAAATCGTGCTAAATGGAATAAAATCGTCTAAAAAAATTAAAAATATTCAATTTTCAAACCGTGTACAAAAATACCGTGTAAAAACAGACTTAGGTGTATGTTCATAGAAAATCGTATGATTTGTATATACCATAACATAGCATACGATTTTCTATAAACATACAATTGGTTTATTTTGCAGATTTTTTACTTTGTGAGACCATAACCATGTAAAAAAGTCATCCAATCCAAACGGGGGTTTAAGAAGATGTGAGATGTTCCTGAAAGGAGCACTGAAGCGTAGGAGGTCACATCTGGATGATGGAGTTCAAGTTTTCAAGGTATCACAATTGGAGTGAAAAAAGAACTTCGACAATTTTCAACTCATGTTGGAGAGTACTTTGGAAAAAAAACTATTATGTGATTATGAATATTAGCAATTTTATTAATTGCGCAGAAATGAATGGAGTAGCCCTCGTATATATGTAATCATGTGTAATTAGTTGCACATAATGACATTTTTTTATTTTTTTAGATTTTTGGGTTTTGTTTCGTAATTTTTTTTACACACATTTCTTTTATACAGAGACATACATTGTGAAGTGTTGCAATTAAAAAAATTTTTAAATAGAACTGAAATGAGATACTGTTAAATGTATACATACAATTATACATTTAACAGTAGCTACATTTTAAACAATGTATACACGAATTTAATGAATATATAATTATATCGTCATTATGACTGTGTTTCTCAAATGAGGGTATTATAAATACATTATAGAGACAGGCAAAATAAGTACATAATTCGAATTCATTATAACCTTTAATTATTTTTATTATTAGATTTGTTTGTTTTTATGATGAAATAAAATTTTGCATACGTAATCAGAAGTTTTTATAAATACACAACTATTAACAATTTCAAAAGAAAAAGAAGACAGGAAGGAAAAGTCCTAAGTCGGACGGGTCGACTTTAGGATACCCACACTACATTGGGTATATACAAGAGGTTCTCTAAGAATCTTGTTGTAACGCATAATAACACATAAAATAATTATTCTAGGCTCATTTATAGTTCCCATGATGATATGCTAAATTCTGTCACTAAACAAACGTGAAATATAATTCGATACAAAAATATCAAAAATCAAAAAAAAAAATTGTCTGCCGTTATATGTACACATAGATAAAATAAAACACATCGTTTTGAAAAAAGTCCTATATTAAAAACAAATCAGATTTTTTCATATTTATTTCGATATTGTCATCTCTATACACAATATAATTTTATTTTTCGCCTAAAGGTATGCTTTACTTTTACTTTCGTTTGTGTGTTGTTTAGAAAAGCTTTCACATATTGAAAAGCTTTCTCTTTGTGTGCTGCATTTATCCGTTATCAACACATTTATGGCGTTTTTGCATTTAAATGGAAATAAATTGTTTAGTAGTACTTACCGCATCTCATCGACGGCCAATGATAAATACCATAAGGCGAACATATTGCTAAAAATAGAGGGGAATAGAATAATGGAGATTAATATATGAAACATTGCAATTTTTATACCCTCCACCATAGTATGGAGGGTATATTAGTTTTGTTTTTCCGTTTGTAACGCATCGACATAATCATTTCCGACCCTATAAAGTATATATATTATTGATCAGCGTAAAATTCTATGACGATTTAAGCATGTCCGTCTGGCTGTTGTTATCACTCTAGCGTCTAAACGAATTGAGATAGATCGCCAAAATTTTGCATAGAGTCGCCTTTTGTCTGCAGGCAGGTCAAGTTCGATGATGGGCAACATCGGTCCACGTTTAGGCATAGCACCCATATAACGGTACCTCATAATTTTCAGTATTTTGGGGGTTTTGGTTCTATTTTTCCACCGAATTGGCTGTAATTTAGTATTTTGAGTTCTTAATAGGTACCAAATCTCTCCACAAAAAATTATGAATATAGATCAATTTGTTCGGGTAGCCCCCATATAAGGGTAAGGTCTTCAGCGCGTTTTCAACCGAATTCGCTGCAAATTGGTATTTTGTAGTTGTATATGGTAACAAATCTCCCTACTAAAAATTATTAATATTTGCCCCCTTTTTGGCGTAGTCCCCATATAACCCCCTTTTTTATATTAAAATAGTTATCTGATTTGTTCGGTGTTTTGGGTTTGGTTCTAAGACTCTGTTGTAATCACTTCACCTGCGGAGGATAGAACGTAAGGTTCGATAATGTACTATATATGAACTATAGCCCGGATTTAGGCCTAGGCCTAGCCCATGTGTGGGACGTACCAGAATGAGTGGACCGATATTTCCCATCTTCGAACTTGAACAAAATTTAGATGAAATCAAAATTTTCTGAATTGGATTTGGTCCAAAGAACGTGGGGTCTAGAACCAATATTTCGACGAGGCACATTTTCACTGTACCAAAGTGTATGCACCCTCATTAGCCATAAGGCTGAGGATATAAATTTTCATTAAAAATTGCTGAAATTTGTATTTGGTGTACATTATGGTTTTCTACAGTTTGTAGAAAGGTCACTTTTTGGTATGTTCCCTTTATTTTATGGTGGAGGGTATCAAAAGTTCGGTCCGGCCGAACTTAACGCTTTTTCACTTGTCATATATAAAATATTTTCGTAGAGTAGATAAGATAAGATAACAAATATTAATAAACTGTATACGGAATAGGAAATATGTACTATTGAAATTCCAAATGGATGCCGTCATAAATTATTTTAATGGGCATATGTTTAATACGTCATTGGGATAGATAACCTGTAGATAAAATTAAATAAAAACACCGATTGCATTCTCCCAAAATGACCTTCGATTAGCATTTTGAGGCCATTTTTCCAAAAATCACAGATTGAAACAATATGTTTCCTGTTCATGTGGATGTCGCCAAAATGAACTGTGGGGGTTTAGCTCGTCTATCGTAGAGAGCAAACACAACAATCTCAAAAAATCTGTCCGAACAGGCCACCATTTAGACTATATGCAAGAGGTGTTTCTATGAACGATTTGAACCAAATTTAGCAAATGTTCAGCTCATCGAACAGGCGTTGTAATTTTATAGCACCATTCAAATGATGTCAGAGGAAGTTAAAAATGCGATCTTCATATTTATATGTATATATATCAAGGTGCGAAGAATGATTAAAATACACTCTTTCTCACTAATGCTCACGGGCGAGAATTCGAATGTTTTCAATTTATCGCGAATGATAAAGTAAGAATGAATGAACAAACATATGCAATCTCTCCCGAACGATAAAACTTCGCTGCAAGCGTCGTCGATTCATTCATTCATTCGCGAGCGAACATTCTTTGCTGAAGAACATTCTTTTGAAAAACTCAAAGAACAAATGTTCGCGAATGGTCGCGATTACTGTTAAAAACTTCCACAAACAAACAAATCATAAAAAAGTAAACACACACAACGAATGAATGTGTGTGTAGCAGAAAGTGTGTGAAATAACAAAACACATGTCCAATTGTTGTTGCTGTTTTGAACATTTGCGAGAATTCGGGAATGTTTGTTTTCATTAGTGAGAGAATGTCAGAAAGAATTTCAACCACCAAACGAAACGAACGATCATTGTTGTGTTCTCTCATTCGTTTGTTATGTGTGTGTGAACATTCTTTGGCGAATGCTCGTTTGGTAAAGAATTTATCGCCCTAAAAACATTCTTAAAATGAGCACAAAACGAAAAGAATGTATATTAATTCATTCGCGAGCGAATTTTTGCGCACCCTGATATATATTTATATCCGGTCGAATTAGGGCAATAATATGAAAATCGTACCGGTTTAAATCAAACTCGGCACAAGTGAATCTAACTTCAATTCGTTACGCTGTGCTTATTTTGCGAACAAACATCAGGTTTTTAGTGCACCATTTTTATAAAATCGTTCGAACCATATTAAACAAGGGACCCATATTGAACAAAACTTAACATTTCATTCTATACTCGGTTCGGTTCGCAATGCAAAATGTAATGTCATTCGGACGTACTTGTTGGGGACTTCGATGTTCCATTTACATGAATTTGGTCAAAAATATAGCAATGCGACAGAAGCACGATTTATATGAATTTGGAAGAAATTATATATGGTATCTATATATATATATACAATTGCCAGGGATGGTCCGTGTAACGATATTTTTTCGACTCTCAAAAAGTTGTAAATATCATATACCCATATAAAATGTAATAAATGTATTTAAGGTCATGTATTTCAATATTGTCACCATAGATTTCTTTCCCTACTAGAACTGATAAAAATTCTAAACTTTTTCGAGAAGAGAATTTTGAAATTATAAAAGGTAACAGCAAATTCTAGCTGATTTGATTCCGATGTAATACTAGTGCCAATATGAATTTGAATTATGTTTTTAAAAATCACACAACCGGGAAAATTGGGAACGCAATTATGTTCTTTATTAAATGTCCTCCCGTATTCATTTTACTCAATCTACCTGTTGGGAAATTTTGTTACCTTCCTTATTATTTTATATGGATTTGAGTAAAGCATATGTAATTTCCAAATTTATTACTGGAAAGAGCTATTTTGTCAAAAATCTAATGGTTTTGGGTCGGAAATGTATGTTTTGTAAACATTCCAAGAAACCTAATAGTACGTTTACATTTAACCGGATATCGTTAACCCAGTGGATTTCAATTGTCAATTCCTTTGCATATATGTCAAATAAATCCTCATAAAGTAGGTTAACCCGGTAAAATGTTGTAATGTATATGCCGTTTAAGATTTGTATCTGAACCTAAGATGGACTTAACCACTTTCAATTTATTCCGCAAAGTATCCATATACTGGGACCCTTGTTGACATTTTTTTCTCGTTCTCAAACATTGAAATAAGATTTAAATGACCATCCCTATTAAACCTTTTGACTTTGCACTCAAATTTCTCACGACGCCAAAGTAACGATTGTTTTTATCTGCAGTAAGGAGAAAGCACATTCTCTTATCTGATAGCAGTTTTCCCTTTCTCTTTACCACACAAAACACATTGTTTCTTTTTTTTTTTTTGATAAATGACTAGAAAACGTGTATGTGTGTGTGTGTGTGTGTGAGTGTTAGCCAAATGTGTGTCATCACATGCCTGAATTTATTTAACACATTTTACGATTATTTGCAAATTGTTCTCATACAGTAGGTGTTCAAAAATGGTACGAGAAACAAAAGTACTTTTTTCTCTATTCCAATATATGAGTCGTTTATTTTAAAAGTTGTATAAGTCCATTTTTTCTTATATTGAGATATTTAAACGTTTGGATCAGATTTGTTTGAAAAATATTAATTTTGTTTGTTGCTTTTTGCCTTTAAACATAATAGAATGTATAACGTAATAAACTTTTCTAGAGAACCAAGACCCAAAACCATTTTCATAATAAACGACTTATATGAACTTTTAATCGTAACGAGAATTGGAATGATTTTCGGATTAATATGGGTATTGGCAGACAGTTTACATTGTTGCATTAGTTTTCTATCATATGACACTATTTTGACACAAAATAACAATACTCCTAATAGTCTCGTATTAAAAAAAAACTGCTATAGATTTTGAAAAAGTTTCAGAATTACTTATCCGCCCTCGTACTATTCATATGAATGAGAAACAAATTTAAATCGTTAAAATTCTCTCTTAATACATGCTAAACATTGCATTAAATTGTCCCACTGTGCAAACATTTTCTCGTTCTCCCCCTCACCGGTGCCTGACAATTGCCCCCACCCAGCACGTTCATGCATTACATCATTAAATTATACAACTGCCACAAACACTTTTTTACAATTGTGTGAAAAAGCTAAATTTTGTGATTTCATTTTCTGACATTTGTTTGTTTGTTTGTTGGTGGGGGCAAAAATCTACCCTGACATTGACATAGCCGAACGATTGATTCACTTTTAGTGCCGGTTATTGTTGTAACCATGGAATTGCAAATAACAATACGAGTGTAGTTACTAGAATTTGAATGAATATTTGTTATATGCACCATTGTCTTAAAGAGGATTTATTTATTTTGGCTTATCATATCTGGAAAATTACACATGAAATTCTCGTAATACATATTTTTCAGAAAATGTATATCGATTCTTATATTTATACAATCGTAAGGTGAAGTGCATATTTAATTTGTCATTCTATAAATTATATGTATCTATACTAATAAAAGAGTAAAGTGATTGACTGACTGACTTAACGATTCATCAACGCTCAGACGAAACGGCTGAAGCTAGAATCTTGAAATTTTGGGAGAGGGTTACTCTTGGTCCAAAGGTGACAGATAAGGCTGGTTTTGGAAATTCATACTAGAACGGTACGAAAAGTACTAAATGTCTTACCATTTGTATTTGGCGAACCTGTAGAGCTAGAACTCTTAAATTTTAAATCAGGGTCTCTGATAGAGTGTAGAATAGATATAGCAAACTAGAAGCTAGAACTCTTAAATTTTAAATAAAGGTCCCT